AATTCCCAAATTCTTGTAAATTTCCTTCATTATCCTCATTCACTCCCACAAACTCATACTGAATGCAAAAATGTTCAATATAAAGAGTGAGGTAAACGTGTTGAATAAAAAAAAACTAATAATGCTACATTGATTTTTTTTTCTTTTGTAGCTGGAGAATCTAATTAGTGATATTGGCGGTACGGCCATGGGTTATACATCGGTATTTCAATTATCAGTTTTTGTGAATTTATCGAGTTGTTGTTTCAGATTTTTAAGTATAAAAAAATTGGATAATAGAACATAAAAGATAACATATCACCCGGATAAGTTGATGTTTTAACTGCGCAGGCAAATTCACGTGAGTTATACGTAGTGCGCATGATGCTAGGAATTTTACAAAAACAGCAAGGTCACGCGAGTCATAGCCTACGTAGTGCGCATATGAAGAATTCGGGTAACGTCTTTTTTCGTGATCTGGTACTCAAATTTGCCGAATCATCTGATCCTGTTCGACAGGTGGACTAAGTCATTGGTAACTCGCAGTTGGAACAGTCAATACGATAGTGTCTAAAAAAGGATACTTTGTTTTCCCTCTCCCGCCGTCCCTATGATTGAAAAATGACCAGCGCATTCTTTTACAATATTTTTTAGCCATTAATTTCCAAAGTAACCTTATATTACTATCTCCAACTTAAAAAATCGGGTTCGATACCGCTTGACAACACGATCACACGTAGGGCCTGTACAGTGTATTACTATACAAAAATATTCCTTTTAGTTATGCGGTATTTTGTGTTACTGAATTTTTCGCTTCAACTAAAGAAAAAACTTTTTTTCCCCCTCACCTACCATAAAATTTCCAACACTGGAGAGCAAACCAAGTATTTTTAGGCATAGTGTGAATAAATATTTTAGTAAATAAAAAATAATATTAGAAAAAATAGTATATGCCTTCGCTATGGAATGTAATAATATAATGCACAGCATTCTCCTCAAGTCCCAAATGATAATTAGACATGACTAAAAATAATTAAGTTAAAAAGAAAACGAATGTTGATGTTTATATAATTATTTTTTAACACCTTGATTGACTTTGCCGCCCGCCCTTTACACTAACGATCAATGTTTATATATTTGTACTTTATAAAACACAGTTTGTAGTACAGTAGATTATGTTTGTAATATTAACTTTAATATACAGTACGGTAATCTTTATTTTTATGAGGTATGTACAATCTGAGTTAATTGTAGTAATTTAATAAGTTAATTTTGTATACATTTCTAGCCAGGTGCCTGCCATGTACACTAGATAATGTCAGATTTGTGTATTTTATAATTATGTAGTACCGTATTTAGGTTATGTATACTAATATTATTTATGTATTATACTGTATAATAGTAACATTTATTTTATACTTTAATTATGTACAACAACCTGAGTTAATTATGACATTTTAATGTGTGCAATGATCTTATTTAATATAATTATTTATTAATGGGTTAAAAACGTAGGCCTATAAGCTGTTAGAGATGGTTAGGTAATCAATTAAGTGCAATATACAGGGGCGGCGCCTGCTTTTTCGATGTTTAGACCGGCTGGTGTCTGAGGGCCACGAAGGCCCGTAAGAAAATAATGTATAGAATTTCTAAAGAAACCATTCTATAAAATTTCTACAGCTTTTCTATAGGCTAATTCTATATGATTTTCTAAACCAGCTTTATAGAGTTTTAATAGATTTTCTACAAGGTCGCAGAGAATGGATAGGTTTTATATAGAGAGATAATTCTTGGATCCAATTTTCTATAGAAGTCTATAAAAACTCATAAATGTCTATAGACTTTCTATAGAATTCTATAAAACATTTTACTACGGGGGGTTCGCTGGTGGAGCTTTAAGGGAAATGAGCCCCTACAAAATGTTATAATTTTCAAGCGTAAATGACGTAAATCAAGTAGGCATAATATGTCACTTCTTTTTAGATAATGTCTACAAAGTTACGGTTTTGTGACCTTTCTAAATGTTGTACTTTGATCACAAGGCTGTTTCGATAGTGAAGTTGTATATAATTATCAGACAAGGGCATTGTGTTATAATCATCTGGGTCTGTCAGGTTACCGAACACAAGAGTTTTGATTATGTTTTTCATTTGATGTTATGTACCATGATTTTAAAGGCCCAAGAAGGCATAGATGAACTTGCCAGTGAAATTATTGGACTTAAAACGGCTCGTCGGTTGCCTGATATCTGCGAAAGCAGGATAAGTGAAGAAAGTAGGAAAAGAATTTCCGAAATGTACCCCTCAATTTGGCCCTATGAGTACAACGTTGGAAGCATAGGTGAATGCATGCCTCGGGACGTCTGCGGCGACCAGGATGTAATGATATTGAGGCATGAATTCCCAGTGGTATTGTGGAACTCTCAAGAAGCTAAAGATAATTTTGTGTATCTACTCGTTGAGCAGAATTCAACTGAGCCGACGTACCTAAAGCTCAAGGCAGTTGACAAGAGGTGTCTACCAGAGGATTTCTATCACTTTATTGATGATGGCGGATATATTAGCTCTGTGGATTTTATCAGTTTATTTCTCGATAGATGGAAAAGGCACGATGTCGGTAGTGATTATTATGATGTTGTTCAGATACAAGGTCCTTCGTTACTCTGCTATGGTAATGTTCGTTTTCGGTATGGCACATCTAGTGAAAAGGTACATAAATTGAGTAATACTATAGACCATGTATATTGTTTAAAATGCCTGTCATGGCCACCTAGTAGTTCGGATTTTTTTACCCGAGAGAGAATTAATAACTGGCCGTCGCAGGCCATATTGAATAAAGTTTCAAATTTGGATTGTCACGTTGTACCTGTTTCACAACCCGGTACTCCGTCAAAAGACGCCCATTGGCGGTTGTCCTTCTCCATAGCTGAAAAAGAGCTAATTCATGAGATGTATGAACCGTACTTCAAGTGTATGTATGCAATGAAAATGCTTAAAAACAAGTATATTGTATATAGCGAATTAGACAAACCAACTCCTTTCTGCTCGTATTTTATCAAAACGACGTGTTTTTGGATGTGTGAACGATTCCCGTATGCAGATAACAATGTAATGGATTTAATTAGAACAGCACTGGATTGGTTAATTGATTACTATAATGACAGATATCTACCAAATTACTTTATTCCCCATCAAAACCTTATTGGTCATTTATCAGAAGAACGTTGTGATGGCGTAATAACAAAGTTGAAAATAGTCAAGGGAATTCTTTGGAGGAAGTTGATGATGGTGATAATTGACGACTGTGATTTGGTGAGGAATGTACTTAACCCTATGTGTGATTCACTCGACATACCAAGAGTCAATGACCATGATGACGTCATAGATTTGGAATCAAATCTTTTGAAGCATCCGTACACTAAAGTAATAGCTGGGGTTTTGCGCGACCAATTCGAGTTATTTAAATTGGACCAATTTTCAGATTTTTTTGGTTACGACTTAACGTTTGTAACTATGGGTCTCTCTGAACTTCTTGGTGTCGAACTCATAGATCCCAATGACCTATTAGGATTTCCAACGAAAATAATTATGCCAATTATAGAAAAAATGGAAGAGATAGTTCCAAAGAAGTATGTAAACGTATACAAGACATGTCTCTTTAGATGTCTAGGCGATATATATACTTCTTTATTGGTAATACTACGGGAAAGGTATTCGAAAGAAGATCTTGCTTTATTTGAACATATACCAGCAGACTATTATGCTGTCTCTTATACACATCTAGATGTGTATAAGAGACAGGTATTATACTGTATAATAGTAACATTTATTTTATACTTTAATTATGTACAACAACCTGAGTTAATTATGACATTTTAATGTGTGCAATGATCTTATTTAATATAATTATTTATTAATGGGTTAAAAACGTAGGCCTATAAGCTGTTAGAGATGGTTAGGTAATCAATTAAGTGCAATATACAGGGGCGGCGCCTGCTTTTTCGATGTTTAGACCGGCTGGTGTCTGAGGGCCACGAAGGCCCGTAAGAAAATAATGTATAGAATTTCTAAAGAAACCATTCTATAAAATTTCTACAGCTTTTCTATAGGCTAATTCTATATGATTTTCTAAACCAGCTTTATAGAGTTTTAATAGATTTTCTACAAGGTCGCTAAAGATGTTTTGATGTAGTTTAAATAGAAATCCTGAAGAACTCCGATAGAGTTCTATA